ATAAAAAAAAATATTTTTTTTAATATATTTTATTGATTTTGTACAGAGAGGAAGGGAGAGAGATAGAGAGTTAGAAACATCGATGAGAGAGTCATCGATCAGCTGCCTCTTGCACACCCCCTACTGGGGATATGCCCGCAACCAAGGTACATGCCCTTGACCGGAATCGAACCCGGGACCCTTCAGTCCCCAAGCTGACGCTCTATCCATTGAGCCAAACGGGTCTCGGCTAAAAAAAATATTTTTTAAAAAAAGACAATCCAATTAGTTTTCAGGCCAAAGGAGGATCTCTGAAGGCTTTGAGTCTTTGGCTGATCTAAATAGTTAGAAACAGCATTTGACACTGTCCTGCACTAGAAATTGAGAGCATAAGCAATCTACCTAATACATAGTCACAAACCCAAATAGGCAGCCAAAATGGGGAGGCAAAAAAACAACCCCCAAATGAAAGAAAAGAGAATTCTCCAGAAGAAGACATAAATGAAATGAAGATAAGAAATTTATCAGACATAGAGTTCAGAGTAAAGATAGCAAAGATGCTCAACAGCATGAGAAAAGATATAGTAACTATAAAGAGTGAAATAGAAGTAATAAAGAACACATGTGAAAGAATACACAGCAGATTAGGAGAAGCTGGGGATCAGATGGGTGAATTTGAAGACAGAGTAAAAAAAAAAATTACCCAATCAGAGAACAAAACAAAACAAAAAACAAAAATTAAAAAACAGTAGGACAGCTTAAGAGAACTGTGGAGCAACATGAAACATAACAAGATTTGCATGAATATTTGCACGGTAGGTATGCCAAAAGGAAAGGAAAGTGAGGGAGGGATAGAAAATGTGTTTGAAAAAAATAATGGCAGAAAACTTCCCTAACCTGAAAAAGGAAAAGCCACACAAATACAGGAGGCATAGAGAATCTCAAGCAAGAAGAACCCAAAGAGGCCCATGCCCAGACACATCATAATTAATATAAATAATCAAACCAATTGTATACTAATTGGAAGGAAGACCATGAAATAACTGATGCCCATAAAGATCATATGAAGCATCTTCAAATTGGGAAAGTTTCACTACAGTCAGATAAGGGCACAATTAAAAAGGGAGGTGACACAGCTCCATGGAAGCTTCAAGTCCTCCCTGAACTGTATCAGGAAAAATATAATTTTCACCAGATATATGATTTAGAGAAAAATATACTCTGCAAAGAAAAACACAGAGAAATTCATCAAAACCAGACATTAAGACCAGCCAGTAATGTCAATAGTTGGACACCTATAAAATACAAACCGAAGTTCTTTCCAGAAAATATGAAAGCCTAGTCTCAAAGCATATTTAGAGAAAAGCTAATGAGCTGAGACTCTTGACTGAGATTCCCTTCTTCTCTAAAATCTCCACAACTTTTTTTTAAATATATTTTATTGAGGTTTTTTTTTTTTACAGAGAGGATGAGAGGGGAGAGAAAGCTAGAAACATCGATGAGAATCATCGATCAGCTGCCTCCTGCACACCCCCTACTGGGGATGTGCCCACAACCAAGGTACATGCCCTTGACCGGAATCGAAGCTGGGACCCTTCGGTCCAGAGGCCGATGATCTATCCACTGAGCCAAACCAATCTCGGCTAAAATCTCCACAACTTAAAAGAAAATCCTCCCTCCCTTTTTATCTCCTTCTCCCCCTCCTCCTCTTTTCCTCCCTCCTTCTCCCTGCCTTTCCCTCTGCCTCTCTCTCCCTCCTCTTTCCCCCTCCTCTCTCACGTCCCCTTCTCTTCTCTCTCCCTCCCTCCTTCTCCCCCTCCTCTTCTCTCTCCCTTCCTCCCTCTCCCTTCATCTCCCTCTGCCTTTCTCTTCCTTCTTTTCCCCCTTCTCTCCCCCTCCCCCTCTATTCCTCCCTCTGTCCTTTTTTCCCTCCTCCCTCCCTCTTTCCTCCACCTCTCTCCACTCCCCCTGTCTTTCCCCTAAAAAAAGAAAGGTTGTCCACACAACCTAAAAACGGAAGTGAGTCACCTCTAAATTGACCCTAGTAAGCTTACAAATATAATGTCAGAAACACAAAAAGACACTCTTCTCTCTACCAAAATAATTTTTTCTATTTTATTTTCATTGCTAGTAAGTGATTATGCAATGTCTAATGAAAACCACATAGAATTATACTGCCTACAAAAATAGGAAGAATAATAAACCTCTAGTTTATTTCCATGTGGCACCAAATTAATTGCTTCTATTTTATTCTATTTGCAAGCAGCATAATTACAGGTTTTCATTTGTTTGCTTTCTTTTGTTATTAATCCTCATCTGAGGAGATTTTTCTCATAGCTTTCCAGAGAGAGTAGGAGGAAGGGAGGGAGGGAGAGAGAAGTGAGAAAGACGCATTGACTGGTTGTCGCCCAGACCAGCGAACCCTTAAACCAGTATGTGCCCTTGACCAGGAGATATTTTTCTATTGATTTTATTGGCCTCAAAAGGAAGCCAGTGGGCCAAAACCGGTTTGGCTCAATGGATAGAGCATCGGCTTGCGGACTGAAAGGTCCCGGGTTCGATTCCGGTCAAGAGCATGTAACCTTGGTTGCGGGCATATCCCCAGTAGTGGGTGTGCAAGAGGTAGCTGATCGATGAATCTCTCATCGATGTTTCTAACTCTATCTCTCTCCCTCTCTGTACAAAATCAATAAAATATATATTAAAAAAAAAAAAAAGGAAGCCAATGGGTTGCAATGTTTAGAATTGTGGATTATTTTGTTCCCGCCCTGAATGTGAATCAGATTTAACCTTGAAGCCACAGCTGCCTCGCCCTCCTGAACGCCTTAAGCCTTGGCTTGAAAGGTGTCCCAGGTGGGGGGTGGGGAACTAACTGGATTCACAGCTCCACCGGGCAGTTAGGTAGGAAGTTAGAGGTGAGCGGCTGGGGGCGGGGTCTGCCCAGGGGTGGGATGGACACCTTCTGACACCTCCTATTTTATGGGTGTGGCCCAGCAGCCAGCAAACGGCCAATGGGCAGGTTCAGGTTCTTGGCTGCAAGCTTAGATGAAAAGGGCATGACCTCAATTATAATAAAATTTACATCTGGGTTTTCACACCCATGGGTTTTTCTGTATGCATTATGGGTAAGAGCATGCCCAGAAAAAAATAAAATTATGTAACCCTATTCTGTCAATCGACCCTGAATACAAATAAAAGTCTTAACCCAGAAAATCCCCCTTTTAAATCTTATAACCCCAGAGTTCTAAGGCCATTGTCTCTCTCAACTGGCCCATTCCTCACGAGGAGTGTATCTTCCATAAATCCCACTTTGCTTTACTTTCATTTTCGTGGACCTTGAAATCTTTTCTGTGTCAATGAGAACTGAGGTCCCAACCAGTATCCTCAATTGGTAACAGCCACTTCTTCTTCTTCCTTTTTTTTTTTTTTTTTTTTTAATATATTTTATTGATTTTTTTACAAAGAGGAAGGGGGGAGAGAGAGAAACATCGATGAGAAACATCAATCAACTGCCTCCTGCACACGCCTACTGGGGCTGTGCCGGCAACCAAGGTACATGCCTTTGACCGGAATCAAACCTGGGACCCTTGAGTCTGCAGGCCAATGCTCTATCCACTGAGCTAAACTGGTCAGGGCAGCAACAGCCACTTCTTGACCCAGATTCTGGGTTGTCCTGTCAGCCTTTCAACCAATCAAAGCGTAATATGCTCATGATATGCCTCATTTATTATAAGGAATTGGCTTGTACACCTGTGGGGCCTGGATAGATAAGAATGAGATTTCTTGGGCAGGCCAGTGGAAGGGCAGGCTGACACTCTGGCAGGAAAGAAATCTGCTGTCCAGAGTGTGATTTATTTTCCTTGGGGAATGAAGAAGCTTTGCTCCTAAGACTCTCAATGATTGCATCAGCCAGATTATTGAGAATCACCTCCTCTATGTAAATCCAACTGTTTCTGTTATCCAATCAACCCCAAAAGACCTTCACAGTAACACCTAGATGAGTGAGTTTTCTTAATAACTGTGCAAATATAGACGTATTTCTTGGGAAAATATGATAGATGTAAAATTGCCTGGTAGAATCTGTAATGCCTCTTCATCAGATGGCTTCAAATTCCTTTCTAAATGTGTGAAATTGTCAAGTAGGAAAGAAAGGGGTGTGGCACGCTGGGCATTTATAAAGCCTGGTTCTTGCAGAGCTGCTCAGTTCCTCCAGATGCTTCCTCCCAAGATGGGTTTGACCAGCCCTGCAAGTGGTGAGTTGCCATCTGCTTTTTGCTCTCATCTTTGACAATGCCACGTGCTTTGTGTACTTCCCAGAGCTTATGAAGGTTAAACTCAGTCACCATTAGAGAAATAGATTGTTGGAGTCGGATGTTTTCTGTTGATACATTGTGTTAGGGGCAGAAGTATGAATCATGCTCTGTTGTTAACCATGATCGTTTTGTCCTGGTTAGAAAAAGCACATTTTTCTTTCTTTTTAATATATTTTCATTGATTTCAGAAAGGAATGGAGAGGGAGAGAGCTAGAAACTTCAATGATGAGAAAGAATCATTGACCGGCTGCCTCTTGCAGGCCCTCTGCTGGGGGTGGAGCCTGAAACACAGGCTTGTGCCCTGGTGGGGAATCAAATCAAGATTTCCTGGTTCGGCCGAAATCGGTTTGGCTCAGTGGATAGAGCGTCGGTCTGCTGACTGAAAGGTCCCGGGTTCGATTCCGGTCAAGGGCATGTACTTTGGCTGCAGGCACATCCCCAGTAGAGGGTGTGCAAGAGGCAGCTGGTTGATGTATCTCTCATTGATGTTTCTAACTCTCTATCCCTCTCAATTCCTCTCTGTGTAAAATCAATAAAATATATTTAAAAAAAAAAAAAAAAAAAAGATTTCCTGGTTCGTAAGTCAATATTCAACCTCTAACCTGGCTGGATGAGAAATCACATTCTAACCTGGCTGAGAGTTGTACTCCCCGGGATTTGGGAGTTAACCTGTGAATTCTATCCATTCTCCTACTTCAAGAACTGCCTGTCTGCTGAAGTTTTGTGAGGAGGGTAGGGGGCTCTAGGCGCTCCCTGTGGTTTTGGAACAAATTCCAGAAGGGAGACCGCAGCTAGGGGTCCGAGAGTTCCCAACCTGTGCACGCTTGGGGCTACTCCAGGCGCAACTTGACATCACCGCTCTTGGTCCTGTGCCCTCGTTCCTCGGATCTCCGCCATGGCATCCACCACGACCAGCCTCCAGAAAGCAATAGATCTTGCAAGCAAAGCAGCCCAGGAAGACAAGGCTGGGAACGATGAGGAAGCCCTTCGACTCTATCAACATGCTGTCCAGTATTTTCCCCACGCGGTTAAGTATGAAGCACAGGGTGATAAAGCCAAGCAAAGTATCAGGGCAACGTGTACAGAATATCTTGATAGAGCAGAAAAACTAAAGGAATACCTGAAAAAAGAAAGAGAAAAAAAATCACAGAAGCCGGTGAAAGAAGGACAACCGAGTCCAGCTGATGAGAAGGGGAATGACAGTGATGGGGAAGGAGAATCAGATGATCCTGAAGCAAAGGAACTTCAGAATCTACTTCAAGGTGCCATTATTATTATGGAGAAACCTAATGTGAAGTGGAGCGATGTTGCTGCTCTTGAAGAAGCCAAAGAAGCACTTAAGGAGGCTGTGATATTGCCCATTAAATTTCCTCATCTTTTATACGGGCAAGAGAACGCTGTGGATGGGGAATCCTTTTATTTGGACCACCTGGAACAGGAAAGTCCTAGTTAGCCAAAGCCATAGCCACAGAAGCAAACAACTCAACATTCTCTTCTTTTTTCTTTTTTTTTCTTTTTTTTTTTTTTTAATATATTTTATTGATTTTTTTACAGAGAGGAAGAGAGAGGGATAGAGTTAGAAACATCAGTGAGAGAGAATCATCAATCAGCTGCCTCTTGCACACTCCCTGCTGGAGATGTGCCCGCAACCAATGTACATGCCCTTGACCGGAATCGAACCCGGGACCCTTCAGTCTAAAGGCCCACGCTCTATCCACTGAGCCAACCCGGTTAGGGCAGTATTCTTTTCAATACATTCCTCCCACCTTGTTTCCAAGTGGTTAGGTGAAAGTGAAAAGCTAGTTAAGAACTTATTCCAACTTGCCAGAAAGAATAAACCTTCCTTTCTCTTCATGGATGAAATCGATTCTCTTTGTGGTTCAAGAAGTGAAAATGAAAGCAAGGCTACACGTAGAAAGAAGACGGAGTTCCGAGTTCAAATGCAAGGAAGTTTTCTGAAGATTTTGGCCAAGAAGGCTAAACCAAAAGCATGAGGAAGATGTTTACCACATGTGTTCTTTCTGTGGAGGAATTTTTGCCTTTCTTTGTTGGCATTCAGGTTATTTCCAGTAAAACACTTTTACCACAGGGAGACATTTTCTCATTTTGCGTTCCTCTACATTTTATATGTATTTCTGCTCTGTTACCAATTAAATGCTCTTATTAACAAAAATTATAAAATGATGGGCTTTGGAGAAATGAGTGCTACATGAATGGCAAAAAAAAAAAAAAAAAAAAAAAAAAAAAAGAAAAGAAAAGGAATTACCCAGTAAAAAGGATTACTGTTGCTTGAGATACAAATTTTTTAAATTGTTATAAATGGTGGTCTTTGTAAAAAAAAAAAAATTATCTTTCTTTTTTTTTACTAAAATGAAATAGGGTTTATATCATATTTTGTAAAAATTCTTAAACATGTTTTTCACATTGTAAATTTATTTACTTTATTAAAACTTAAAATGATAGAATCTTTACTCTCAGGGATGAGTAATAAAACAGCAGAGACTGATTGGGCTTGAAAGATTTTGAATTGTGTTCTAGCCAAGGCTCATTAAATTTTTTTGATAGCTTGACATTTTTCTTCGTGTAGATTTAAATAATTTCTTTTAAATCTGCAAGCTTTTTTAAAAAATATGGTTTTATTGATTTCAGAGAGAGGAAGGGAAAGGATGAGAGAGAGAGGAATATCAATGATGAGAATCATTATTGGCTGCCTCCTGCACGCTGCCTACTGGGGATTGAGCCCGAAACTGGGGCATGTGCCCTGACTGGGAATTGAACCATGACTTCCAGGTTCATGGGTCAATGCTCAACCACTGAACCGCACTGGTGGGGCAAGCAAACTTTTACATTTATTATAAATAATACCTTTCACTGTGCATTCTCAAGAGAAAGACTTTCTAAATTAGGCGTTGTCTTTATGTTGAAGGAGAAAATTTTCTGTTTCAATTGTATCTTTTTGTAGCAAGATTGACCCAAGCCAGGAGTAAATAAATATGTCCTTTTAAAATAATTCTGCCATAAAATACTGTTATGCGAACCAGTGCTAAAAGGAATGGCCTTCGTTTGGCTTATGGGAAGTGTGTGATGTTGCTGTGCCTGTGTTCATACATATATATAAATTTTTAATATAGAGTAGCAAGGATCTTTTACCTTTTCTAAGTTCAGAGAGCAGTGTGTCCTGACTCCACATCTGTTGTCAGTGTGTGGTGCTTCATGAAGCTTTAGAAATGAGCTGATGTCTCATTCAATAATAAAATACAAACATGATACTATGTTATTTTAATATTTTCAAATAAAAAATCTGAGGGTGTGTATTGCACACTTTAGCATCAACACTAAGTTGTGCCTTGTACATTTGCATTGGCTATACATGCAAAGGGTTATTAAGTTTAACTAAAATGAGGTAGATTTCTTTATTACTATAAAGCTCTACTTTGCAAATACTACGGAATGACTTGTCTCTTAAAGTATATTTGCACATTTGCATATGCTAAATGGTTGTCTTAGGATTTTCTGTACAGATTGTTTTTGTTGATATTAAATGGAAATCATAGGCCTGAAACATGTTCTTATGTGAAGTAAACTGATATAACCTAAAAAAAAAAATTTTTTAAACTGCCTGTCATCATGGTAGGGTTAACTATCTTGTTGCCAAAACAATACAAACCCTCCAGCCTAAAGTGCCTCTAATCCACATGTGTCAAACACACGGCCCGCGGGCCAAATCCGTCCCGCCAGGCCTTGCAATGTGGCCCGCACCGCGATGTCATCACTGCACTCCGCTGCGTTTCCATCACAATGACAGTTTATGACTGTTCAGTAAACCATTCGGCCCGCGATTTAGGCTGGATTTTAGATTTTGGCCCCCTCTCTGATTGAGTTCGACACCCCTACTCTAATCTGTAATCATTTTACCCAGACTTATTCCTTTTGCCTACGTATTTCCCCATGCCTATAATACCCATTTTTATTCCTTTTGCATCCCATTCTTATTCCTCTTTCCTATTTTCCCACCTAATCTTATAAGCAGCTGGCTTATGGGAGGAGACAGGTAAAGCAGATTTTCTTGAATGACCTGCTGCTCTCCCATACAGCTGGCATTATTGGAATAAACCACTCATATGTGATTCAATCCTGTCTCTGCTTAATTGGCTCAAGTAGTGACAGGCAACCTGGGCCCATTTGTTGTCCCTTTAAGATGTTAAACGACAGGAAAAACGAGCAACATACATAGTAAGAGACAGCCATGAGTCCCATCTGTGGATTGTCAAAAGTTTTAAAGTTGGCACTTTATTTTTTGTTATTCCTCACTGGAGGATATTTTTTCCATTGCTCTTCAGTGAGTATGGGAGGGAGGGAGGGAGAGGGGAAGAGAGGAAGGGAGAGAGAGAAACATCAATGTGAGAAACACATTGACTGGTTGCCTCCCAAGCTTGTCCCCATGGAGGCTGGGGATCAAACCTGCAGCCCAGATACGTGCTCTTGACCAGGAATTGAGCCTGAGACCCTTCAGTGTGTGGACCAATGCTCTCACCACTTAGAAACACTGGCCAGGGCAAAGTTGGCACTTTATGTATTTTTTTTATTTTTTAATATATTTTTATTGATTTCAGACAGGAAGGGAGAGGGAGATAGAAACATCAATTATGAGAGAGAATCATTGATCAGCACCTCCTGCACGCCCCTACTGGGGACTGAGCCTGCAGCCCGGGCATGGGCCCTTGACCTGAATCCTTCAGGCCACAGGCTGACACTCTATCCACTGAGCCAAACCAGCTAGGGCAAAGTTGGTACCTTAAATGAAGAAAAATATATGTGGAATACCTAAATATTTATATGTAAATTTTCCTAAAATTTATTTTTACCGCAAAGTAACAGTTTTTGTATATTTTATTAATTCCATTAGGGTTTTTTGTGTGTTACTTATGTCATTTATTTCCATTAGTTTTCCTGGCTCCTATTGCTTGCTATTCTCTTTGCATGTAATTTCGTGGATTTTCAGTAACTTCTTCCTCTGGTAACGCAGACCATAGGCTGTCATTTATATATATATATATATATATATATATATATATATATATATATATATATATATATATATATACATACATACATATACATACACTAATAAGAGAGAAAATGCTAATTGACCATACCTTCACTACGCCCACAGCCAATCAGAGTGAGTATGCACATTAACCCAACAAAGATGGCGATTAATTTGCATATGCTGAGGGAGGGAGGAGTGAAGACTTGAAGACAGCATAGAAGGAAGAGGGAGGGAAAGGAGAAAGCATGGGCGGGGTGGGCGGGGTGGGCGGCAGCTGTGGTGGCAGCGGGCGGGGCGGCCTCTTACAACGGCCCCTAGTGTGTGTGTGTGTGTGTGTGTGTGTGTGTGTGTGTATTTTTTTTTTAATTTAGCATGACTATAACTGTATTCCTAAAGAAAAAGTAGAGAATACAGTTAAACCTTAGCTCTTGAAAGTAGTCTCCCATCTCGAACAATTCAGTTCTCCACCAAGTTGTTCACGGGAAAAATGTCTCCACTTGCTAACAAAACTTCAGTTCTGAATTTGACGGCCCTCTCCTGTTGACACATCAGCATGACAAAAAACATCTCCTAGCCAAAACCGGTTTGGCTCAGTGGATAGAAAGGTCCCAGGTTCGATTCCTGGTCAAGGGCATGTACCTTGGTTGCAGGCACATCCCCAGTGGGGGGTGTGCAAGAGGCAGCTGATCGATGATTCTCTCTCATCGATGTTTCTAACTTTCTATCTCTCTCTCTACCTCTCTGTAAAAAGTCAATAAAATATTTTTTTTAATTAAAAAAAAAAAGCATCGCCTAGGTCCAAACAAAGGAGAGAACGCAAGTCAGTTTACCCCTAACCCTCCAGGTGTTTAAATCTCAGGAAATTGTGCTGTGAATATCTTCATAAGTGTTTTTGTTTTGTTTTGCTATTGTTGCTGGTGAGATGGATGGTGAGCACAATTTTAAAACATAAAGAGGCCATCAAGTGCATTGATGCTACTAAGGGTGTGAAAGTGCTCACAAAACAAACATGACAGACAATTGAAGTAGAGAAACTGTTGTTTTGGATAAATGAAAAGCAGTTTGTTAATGAAAGCATTTCTGAGGCAATTATATGTGAAAAGGGGACGATGCTGTAACCCTGGAAGGAGTGCTGAAAGGGATTTAAGACTAGTAGGGGTGGTTTAATAAAGTTAAGAAAAGAAGTATTTGTTTATAGGTTAAACAGGATATTAGATGTACTGTATATAAGAAAAAAATTAAACAGGGGATCATATAGGGAACTAGAATGGATTAATTCAACTTACATGATTTCTAATGAGAAAGATTGATTTGGTTTTCAAACAAATTGCTTCTCGAATAGCCTTCCAAAATGAAGTAAGTTCCAGAACAGGGGTTCCACCGTAATCATTGCACCCACAAGCTTTCAACCTGAAATAAACATAAGACATGTGCTCACACAGTTTTTAATCCATAAGCACATTCTTCATATTCCTCTCCCCATTTTCTCTTCATCAGGCAAACTACAGGAAAGAACCTGGCAAGGCAAGGTTATTTTCACCCAGAGTCAAAAGGATATCCTTCTAAGACGGTTTAAACAAAACCCCTACCTTGATACAGCTACTAAGGAACAGTTGGCCAGAGAGATTGGCGTTCCGGAGAAAAAGATTCGGGTAAGCATTAGCTTTCTATTTCATTATCTATCAGAGTCAAGGTGAAGAGAAAAGGTGGGCTCAGCACTGTCAGGCATTGTATGGTACGCTTCCAGGTTTTTCTGTTATTATAACTTTATTTTTTTTAAAATATTTTTTATTGATTTTTTTTTTACAGAGAAGAAGAAAGGAGAGATAGTTAGAAACATTGATGAGAGAGACATAGATCAGCTGCCTCTTGCACACCCCTACTGGAGATGTGCCCACAACCAAAGTACATGCCCTTGACCGGAATCTAACCCGGGACCTTTCAGTCCACAGGCCAACGCTCTATCCACTGAGCCAAACCGGCTTCAGCTGTTGTTATAACTTTAAAAACAAAAGGGACAAGAACTCTGTTTATATCTTTTACCAGTGGGGGAAACAATTCACTGATGGAAGAAGAATATATTAATGTAGGCTCTCTCATAGGAGATACTTAAAATCAATTTTAGCAAATATAATAAATTAGATCACTATGATAATGATATAGTATTAAATATTGGAATATATACTGCAGAATAATTATCCTATCTAATAAAGAGGAAATATGCTAATTGACCCTCATGCCATTGCAAAGATGGTGGCATCCACAGCCAATAAGGAGGGAATATGCTAAATGACTGTCCCACCCTCAAATATGGCAGCGCCCACAACTAATGAGGGAATATGCTATACCCTCTCCAATCAGGGACCCCTCAAGGGATGTCCAACTGCCAAGTTAGGCCTGATCTCACATCCCTCTCACCATCCAGGACTACTGGCTCCCAACAGCTTGCCTGCCTACCTGCCTGATTGCCCCTAACCACTTCTGCCTGCCAACCTGATCACTTCCTAACCACTCCCCTGCCAGCCTGATCGACGTCTAACTCCTCCCCTGCCTGCCCAATTGCCCCAAACTGCTCTCCCCTGACAGCCTGGTCGCTCCTAACTGTCCTCCCATGCAGGCCTGGTCACCCCCAACTGCACTCCCCTGGAAGCCTGATCACCCCTAACTGCTTTTTCCTGCTGGCCTGGTTTTCCCCAACCGCCCTTCCCTACAGGTCTGGTCCACCTTAACTTTCCTTCCCTGCAGGCCTCGTTGCCCCCAAATGCCCTTCTCTGCTGGGCCATCTTGTGTTCACATGGTGGCAGCTATCTTTACCACATGGGGTAGTCATCTTGTGTGTTGGAGTGATGGTCAATTTGCATATTACTTTTATTAGATAGAAATATATATATATATATATATGTGTGTGTGTGTGTGTGTGTGTGTGTGTGTGTGTGTGTATATATATATATATATATATATATATATATATATATATATATATGCCTAATATGGTAAGTGTCCAACCATTCAACTGTTTGACCGGTCACTATGATGCTTACAACCAGGAGGCAAATGCTCTGACTGGTAGGTTAGCTTGCTGCTGGAGTCCAGCCAATCATGCACCACTGGGGTTCCTTGACCTGGTCTGCATCCTCTAACAATCTGGGACCCCTCAGAAGATATCAGAGAGCCAGTTTCAGCCTGATCCCCACAGGACAGGTTGAGGGACCACCACTGGTACACAAACCCATGCACCAGGCCTCTAGTCTAATTATAAAAGTAAAACATTTAGCAATCATTAGAAAGTACATTGTAATTTTGACTCCAGTAATGAATAAATGAGCAAAGAGTTCACCTTTTTAAAAGAATGTTTTTATTGATTTTATTATAGAAAGAGAAAAAGGGAGAAGGGTAGATAGAAATATTATTATTTGCCCCCTTCACTTCCTTTATTGGGAATTGAGCCTGCAACCTGGGCATGTGCCCTAATGAGTGACTTGTTGGTTCATGGGTCGGGGCTCAACTACAGAGCCACACCAGCTGGGCAGAGGTCACTTTTTATGTTAGTGACGAGTTTCACAGTGAGTTGTACAGGGTCTCTAGGAGTCTCCTTACCTGTTGCTGAGTATAGGATAAAGTAAGTGAAAGTGTGGACACATGTTAGTCTAACTCTTAACTAATTCTAACTCTTAGCTAATTCTATTCCCCAAATTATTTTCTAAGATCACATCCATATGTATTGAGTATTTATGAAGAGATAATGGGGGCCAAGAAGACTTTTAAACATTGAAGGCCTACTGTAAGAGCAAGAGATCGGAGGAGAGAAATACTGATCTCCTTTGAGAAAACTGACAGTGTCTTTTAAATCAGGGAGATCTACTTTGGGTACTATGAAGATGACCATAAAAGAAATATTCATGAGTTGAGATTGTGTGCTTCCTGAATTGTATGCTAATAGTTACATCATTCCTAGGATAATACATCACCTTTTTCTGATGGTTATTATCCCAATAGCAGTTGATCAAATCAGCTTTATTTAACTGCATTGATACTTGTAGTGACATAGTTTGGGTTACATGAATATCATGTCTTTTCCTATTTAGACTTGGTTTAAAAACCATAGAACAAAACTGAGAACATTGGGAACTAAACCGTCCTCAGGAAAAGACCACACCCAGGAGCAGCACCAGCATCAGCCTAGGACTCAAGGTAAGAATCCACAGATCCAGCCAAAACCTGTTTGGCCTGCAGCCTGAGAGGTCCCAGGTTCGATTCCTGGTCAAGGGCATGTACCTTGGTTGCGGTGGTGTGCAAGAGGCAGCTGATCGATGTTTCTCTCTCATCGATGTTTCTAACTCTGTATCCCTCTTCCTCTCTGTAAGAAATCAATAAAATATATATTTTTAAAAATCAATAAAATATATTTTAAAAAAATACAAAGAGCATCTTTGATGAGAAATGTTAAAAAAAAAAAAAAAAAAAAAAAAAGAATCCACAGATCCAAAGGCATTCTTCAGTGGGTCCCTTTGAGAGCAAAAGCAATTCTGCATGTTGTGTGCAAATTCTCCACAAAACGTCCTTATCTTAGGACCTAGTCACGCCTTATTCTAGGAACCCTAGAGTCAGAAATGTAAGCACAGCCCGCCAGTTGGCTGGGACAGGCAAGTTCTCAGCAAACAAATCTCTGGGCCTTTTGGCTCTGCTCCTCTAAGCCTGGTGTCACCTCAGGGGGTTCAGAGAGAGTAAGTTAAGGTCATCTCAAACTTGAGTTTCCACATCATATGTGAAAACTGTCCTAGAGACCTGACCAGTTTGGCTCAATGGGTAGAATGTCAGCCTGAGGACTGAAGGGCCCCAGATTCGATTTCAGTCAAGGGAATGTACCTTGGTTGTGGGCATATCCCCAGTGGGGAGTTGCAGGAGGCAGCTGATCGATGTTTCTCTCTCATTGATGTTTCTAACTTTATTCCTTCCTCTCTGTAAAAAAAATAAAATAAAATAAAAAAATCAATAAAATATGTATTTTTAAAAAACTGTCCTAGAAGCCACCAGAAAAGAACAGACATCCATCACAAGCTCTCAATCAAACATACTAGTTCAAGCTTTTGACAGAAACCGATTACCTAATACTGCAACCAGGAAAATATTGGCTGAACAAACAGGCATTCAGGAATCAAGAATTCAAGTAAGTTCTACATCTGACACCAAATACCTCCTATTATATTGCCCCTCAAAGATTGCTGGCAAAGGTTTGCCCTATTTTGAGTTATCAGGCATCAAGGGACAAAGATAATGGAGGGTAAAGAGCACAATTTGATTCCCAGTCAGGTCATATGACGGGTTGCAGACTCAATCTCCAGTGTGGGGCATGCAGGAGGCAGCTGATCAATGATTCTCTCTTATCATTGACGAGAGGCCCGGTGAATGAAAATTCATGCACTGGAGGGAAGGTCCCTCAGTCCGACCTGACCCCTTCCCTATTCTGGGAACCCTGAGAGATGGAAGGCAGCCTGGCGACCAGGGTAAAGTGATGCCCCATCACACCTTTGCTGTGGCCACTCCTGTCAGCGTAAGCCTCGGCCAGCCCTGGTTACCTGTGCCTCAGGCCGGCCCTGGGTGGCTGGGCAGCCGCCATCTGAGGCTCACCTGCACCTCGGACCAGTCCTGGGTGGCTGGGAGGCTATGAACAAAAAGACATGAAATACATAACTACCAACAAGTGAATCTAAAAATCAAGTGAATAAAAAATCTGAAAAACAGAACGGACTGGTGAATATAATAGAATCAGGGACATAGAAAGAGAGTGGACTGACAATTCTTAGGGGGAAGGGGGTTTGAGGGGTGCAGGAAGAGATTGGACAAAAATCTTAAACTTATGGCCGAAACCGGTTTGGCTTAGTGGTAGAGCGTTGGTCTGCGGTCTGAAAGGTCCCAGGTTTGATTCCAGTCAGGGGCATGTACGTTGGTTGCGGGCACATCCCCGGTAGGGGGTGTGCAAGAGGCAGCTGGTCAATGTTTCTCTCTCATTGACGTTTCTAGCTCTCTATTCTCTCCCTTCCTCTCTAAAAAATCAATAAAATATATTTTTTTAAAAATCTTACACCTATGGATGAAGACAGTGGCAGGGGGTAAGGGCATGGGGTGGGGTGGGGAATCAGGTGGGGGGAATCAGCTATGGGGAGGGGAGGAACACCTATAATAATCTGAACAATAAAGATTTATTATATAAAATAAAAAAATAACATAGGACATATGCCTTTTCAGCCAGTTTCAATTCATCTGTTGGTGAGTGTGCTATGACCTTAATTTATGTGTATGTTTGTGTACATATACATGTATATGCATACACACATACACATAATGAACACATATTTCATACAGATATATTAGGGCCTGTGTTAATATTGTCTTTGTTTTACACAGTATGAGAAATGGTGCCAGAATTGCTTAACTTATGATGTCCATGTCTCTTTTTTTCCTTGCATACACGTGGTTTCAGAACCAAAGATCTCCATACTCAGGGCAGAGCAGAAGCAAGCCTGTGAATTCCTTGGTAGAGGGCCCAAGTGGGACACCGGATCTGATAGTTCAGCAGCACCAAACCAATCTGACCCTGGTCCCATGCTGGTCTCTTCCTTCCTCCAATGTTTTCAGCAATAACCAAACATTTCTACCTGCTCTACCCCTGTCCCATGTGTCTTCTGTCCCTTCTGTGAACCAAGGACCAAGTGTGGTGATGGTGCAGCCCATGCAGGCTGGGCAGGGAGGAGAGAACCCTCCCTCTACTTGGACACTTACAAACCTGCCAATACCGCTGACAACAGGAGGGAGCCTCTCCAGTGCTCACAATCCTTTCCAGCTCCAAAACCAAGAAAAATGCCAGAATCACAAAGAACAGACTGCCACAGGAGTACTACAGTTGCAGGACAATTCTCAGCCTCATCCTGACCACAGAATACACCAATCACAGGATCTGGATCAGATGGACATCTCTTCCATTGTGCAATGGTACGATGAGTGGTGCCAGGCTGTGATTGCAGAATGGGACCCTGGGGAAGGAACACAGAGCCACACAACACACAGCTCAGCTCGAGACCCATCTCGTTCCTTCGGCTAATTGCACCAACAATATTTACCTCAAGCCTTTATTTTACTTTCTTGTTAATCCTCACCCACGGATATTTTTCCATTGATTTTTAGAGACAGTCGAAGGGAAAGGGAGAGACAGAGAGAAACACATCAATTGGTTGCCTCCCATACATGCCCCAACTGGGGCTGGAGATTGAGCCTGCAACTGAAGTATGAGGAAATCAACATTTCCAGGCTTTTTCCATGTAATGCAAGGCTCAATTTCAGAAGGAAGACATCATTCTCATAGAACCTGGTCCAGGCCTTCTTTCTTTGGAAGCAGAATCAGTGCAATTTAAAGGACGATAAACATGGGGGAGATAAGAGATCAACCGAAGGACTTGTATACATGCATATAAGTATAACCAATGGACACAAAACTTTGGGGAGGGAGGGTATGTATGGGAGGGGAGGCAATGTTAAAATATGTACACAGATAATAATTTAATAAAAAAATAAAAATAAATAAATAAATAAATAAATAAATAAATAAAGGATGATAAACAATGAACTCGACTGAACATAAACTGTGCACCTATGGATGAGGACAGTGGGGGGTGGGGAGGGGGCGGAGGTGGGGTGGGGTGGGGTGGGAACCTGGTGGAGGGGGGAAGAAATGAGGAACCTTTGTAGTAATCAATAAAGATTGATTTAAATAAATAAACAAACAATGAACTCATGCCCTATCCAGTTTGGCTCAGTGGATAGAGCATCAGCCTTCGGACTGAAAGATCCCGGATTCAATTCCGGTCAAGGGCATGTACCTTGGTTGCAGGCACATCCCCAGTAGGGCAGCTGATAGATGTTTTTCTCTCATCAATGTTTCTAACTCTCCCTCTCCCTTCCACTCTATAAAAAAATCAATAAAATATATTTAAAAAATGAAACAAAACAATGAACTCATTCTGTTCAGGATGAGACTAATGCAGGGGAAGGAGAAACCACTTGGAAACCTAAATAGAAGTTGTACTCTGTGTTGTGGGCAGTGGTTATCTTCTGTACTCATTTCACTGAGTAAAGGATTGTTTCCAAGCACCATGCCTCTAGGAGCACCAGGACATGAGGCAGTGGACACATCTGTCAAATCCTTCTGAGCAAACGCTTTTAAACTGATAAACATGACTTCTTCCCTGTAATCAACATGTCCACAGTGTCCAAAAATCAACACATGAAATAATTATACCATTCATGGAATAATTCTCAAATATGTATTCAGTTGTGTCATGTTTTGGGTCAGCAAGTGCCGGAAACCAATCATTGTCTCACTAACAAAAAGAAGCTGGTCAACCTTGAAGCTCTGAAAGGTCAGAGCCAACCACACCCTATCTAATTGAGACAATAGTAACTGAGGCAACTTCCCCATCTTGTAATCATGTAAATCCTTACTGATATGATAATCTGCTTATTACCTGCCTAAGGGCTGTGGGTGTTTCCCAAAGCTGCTTAAGGGTAATGGGTGTATCCCATAGCAGCCTCAATAAAAGGGGTAGCGAGGCCAGAGCCTAGAGAGTCTTCCCACAGGCGGTTGACTCCCGCCTGGCCCCCCTTTTGTCCCAAATTAACTCTTTTCTAGTCTCTCTCTTCATTTTAGTGTGTGGCCTCCTCCAGAAACCGGACCCTGAGTGGGCCCTAATCACGCGGGCCGTGTTAAGCAAGGAAGCGGGGTATATGTCCTCTAATTTCCACACACAAGCTGAAAGCCACTCAATAGCACTCAGGCAGACAGATATCCTCAAGCAGGTGCCTCAGGACTCTTATTGATGGCACGTGCTGAAATGGAGATATGGGTGGGATACTCACACCTCCTGTTACACACGTGATAGTTCCTGATTGTTTCAGATTGGCTTCTCTTCTCTTTGGCTCTCAGCAGTTCACCCTGTTTTGCCATCTTTCACAGTCTTAACACAGATCTCTTTGCTCCATCCATTTTGCGAATGACCTAAGAGTTCTAAAATGGAAGTACTTTATTATCTAAATAATGAGCAAAAGTGTCAGTTCCTTTATGATTTTTATACCTAAAAGTTTTTGTGAATACAATCACTTATTGGAGACTCAAATACAAAGTTCCATTTATTTTCTATAACAAAAGCAACACAACAAAAAAATTCATTCGCTAATTTTTAAGTCTAACACAACCATAGCACAAAACTATCCTCAACAAATGGAAATGCATTATTACTAGTAACCAAGTAAGACAATTCTTGAGACTCTTTAAACAAAACTAGGAAGGTAAAGAAACACGTCAGATGTTTGACTAACAAGGACTCAAAGAAGAGAACAGCCAAGGAGCAGGGTCCCCAAATATTAAGTCAGCAAAGGAAACACGGGGTTTTCAAAGTAGTTGGCAGATCAAGGTAAACTTTTCCATTAACTGTCGGGTGATTTTAGAAATCAGAGCTCACTGGGGGATACAAGGGTTTTGGGTAATCCATGCTCAAAACCTTGTAATGAAATCTTTCCATATTTCTAAATCCTTGACTTAGAATCTATCACAATCTAGAGGAGCTTCTCCCAAAGGATAGAAGGCTCTTTATTCACAATGCCTGAAAAGACCCGACCTCCAATTTTCTTCCTTTGGGTTACTAATTCCTGTACAATAAGATACAGGTTCCATTCCAAAAAAACATTACTATGTAAACCAATCTTTCCTTCAAGAAACAGATACTGCCAGGTACAGCTCTAAATATATCCAATATCTTTTATTTTTATCCTCCTACACAACGCTGCATGGCTACAAAATCTTGGACTTGCAGAGCAATGACAGCAGTTTAGAAGATGTGTCAGTTCCAACATAAAAAAAAAAAATCTCTGAAGTTCAATGGTCACAAAATACCACTTCATCTGCCACACCTCTTTTCTTTTCTCATTATCCTGTCAATTATTTCTTTCGGAATTCAATTCTCCGCGCTACATTCTGAGCACCAAATTTTTTGACCAATGTATCTCTGGCATCCTCGTCACCTTTTTGCAAATCTAAGTCATCCTGTCGAGACCAAATGGGATACCCATCAGTCCTCTGACCAGACTCCAAAAAGGAGGTGGTAGCCTCCACCTCACCACTATTCTTTAGGAAGGCTTGTGTAACTGTTGACAGATCCAAGTTAAACTTTTCCATTAACTGCCGGATGATCTTAATTGCAGCTCCCACTTCCGCTGGAGAAACTTTTCCTTCTTCTTCCTCATCAGGCTGTGTTTCTGAGTCTTCTTCAGGGGTGGGTGGATCATCATCACACATTGTTATGTGTATTTCAAAATCAGGGCTTTCCTCCACCTAGAGAAAGTGATAAAACTAGTCTAATTACCCAGTTACACTTAGTCTTGCAATATCTGGTCTCTCCCATTACCATCTCCTTGCCCTTTTCACTCCAATCACACTGGGCTTCCTTCAGTTCCGCTAATATGCCATTTCCTTCTTACATTTATTTGTCTTGAATGTGTGTATGTATGTGTGTGTGTGTGTGTGTGTATATATATATATATATATATATATATATATATATATATATATACACACACACACACACCCACACACATACATATGTGACAACAGGGTAAGAAAAATGTGTGTGCAGGTGAGGTGTGTGTAAGCGCAAACATGCTTCTGTATGTATGTATATATATAATTATCTACGGTATCCCAAAAGAACATTAGAAGCTCCACTGAATATGAAAAAAATATATGTGCATACACTTATGTGTATATTTTTGCATTAGATTATTTGAAGGGGTTTTGTGTGGTTTTTTAAGAGTATTATTCTTTTGGTTTGTTTTATATATTTTTTTATTGATTTCAGAGAGGAAGAGAGAGGGCAAGAGAGAATCATTGACCACTGTCTTCTGCAAGCCCATAACAGGAGCCTGTACTTTTTTTTTCCATTAGAAGATATCTGTTTTTTTGTTTTGTTTTCCATTAGAAGAGATGTTTTTTATCTCTCTCTCCCTCTCTTCCTCTCTGAAATCAATACAAAAACAAAATAAACACACACACAACATTGCTGTATTAGGGTCTCTAAACTATATTACTATAGCCACATTATAAAGTATGTTATGTGAGAAGAGACCTATGTAGGCCTTGTTTGGGAGTTGTTGAGAGCATTTGGAAGTTTATGGAAGTTAACCTATGTAATATCAAATAACAAAACAAAACTCAGATTACACAAGGCAACAACCCCCAAATTCTGCCAATTCTTATGCATTCTTTCACTCACCAATTACAGAAACTTTCAATTATTTTCCTGATTTAGATTGAGGCCTGACCACTTTTTGTAAATTAATAAGAAAAGTTAATTTAAAAGACCCTTTTTCCCCCAGCCGGTTTAGCTAAATGGTTGAGCTTCGATCTATGAACAAATCATGGTTCAATTCCCAGTCATGACATATTGCCCATATTGCAGGCTCAATCCCCAGTGTGGGGCATGGAGGCAGCCAATCAGTGACTTTCTCTCATCAGTGATGCCTCTTATCTCTCTCTCCCTCTCCATTCTTCTCTGAAATCAATAAAAATATTGTTAAAAATAAATAAAATATCCTTTTTCTGGGAGAAGATATGCATATATAATTTGGAGGGTTTTTTTTCAATCAATTAAACTCATTTTAAAATTATATTTATGTTCCTGAGAAGCATAAAAACATTATCATAAAATGCTAAATTTGAAAAACTTATACTGAGATGAAAGTACTAAAAATGGGATTTTTATACTGTTTAAAATAGGAATTCGCCCCAACTTTTCTACCTATCCCCCTCAAGCTTTCCTGTCAAAAAGCAAAAACTACAATCCTGGAACCTAGATCAGTCACACTTTCCATTTCCTTCTTCCACCTTGAACTTCTCTCTTACCTTTCTGGGCACTGGGTATATAAAAAAGGTAGATGGGATGACCCAATTTCAAAGGAGAAGAATGCAGATACAGAAAAAAAAATGAGTTAAATCTAGTTAACATACCACAACCTCCTCAAATCCCCGGGTGGCTTCTATAAGCATTTTTTTAA